TGGGAATTGTAAACCCCAAAGTAACCACTAAGAAGAAAGCTAAAAAATATACAGAAAAGGAAAGAAGAAAGGATTCAAAATGGTACAGTACAAAAATTCAACTAAATACAAAAAAGGCAGTCACAGAGGAATTGAGGAATAAAAAATATATATATAATATATACAGAAAACAAATAGTTTAGTGGCAGAAGTAAATCCTTGTCAGGAATTACTTTAAATGTAAATGGATTAAATTCTCCTATTAAAAGTCAGAGACTGGCAGGTTGGATTAAAAAAACCCCACAACATGATCCATTTAGATACTATCTACAGGAGACTCACTTTAGATACAAAGACACAAAGAGTTTGAAAGTGAAAGCATGGAAAAAGATATTCCATGCAAACAGTAACCAAAAGAGAGCTGGGGTGGCTATATTATTGAAAAACAAAAGAGACTTTAAGTCAAAAATGTTTACAAGAGACAAGCAAGGGCATTATGTATTGATAAAAGTTTCAATCCAGCAGGAAGATATAACAATTATAAACATTTTACACACCTAACAACAGAGTCCCAAAATATATGGAGCAAAAATTAACAGCATTGAAAGGAGAAATAGGCAGTTCTATAATAATATTTGGAGACTTCAATATCCCACTTTCAATAATAGATAGCAAAATAAGACATAGATCAAAAAGAAAATAGAGAATTTGAATAACATGATAAACTAATTAGACCTCACAGACATATACAGAACACTCCACCCAACAACAACAGAATACACATTCTTCTCGAGGGCACCTGGAACATTTTCCATGATAGACCATATGTTAGGTTACAAAACCACAAAAAAGTTGCAATAAATTTTAATAGATTTATATCATACAAAGTATCTTTTCCAATCACAATGGAATGAAACTAGAAATTAACAACAGAAGGAAAACTGAAAAATTCACAAATACGTGGAAATCATTTAAATACCACATTCTTAAACAACCAAAGAGTCAAAGAAGAAATCACAGGCAGATTAGAGAATACCTTGAGATAAATGAAGATGTAAACATAACACACCAGAGCTTATGGGACATAGCAAAAGCAGTGCTGAGAGGGAGCCAATGGCTGCACACACCTACGCTGACAAAGATCTCAAATCAATGACCTAACTGTACACTTTAAGGAATTAGAAAAATAAAAGCAAACTAAACCCAGACCTATCAGGAGTTATGGAATAATAAAGATTAGAGCAGACATAAGTGAAATAGAGAGTAGTAAAAACAGTAGAGAAAATCAACAAACTCGAAAGTTGGTCATTTGAAAAGATCAACGAAATTGACAACCCTTTAGCTAGATTAAATAAGGAAAAAAAAAGAAGGAAGACTCAAGTCACCAAAATCAGAAATGAAAGTGGGCACATTGCCATGGATTTTACAGAAATAAAAAGGATTATAAGAGAATAATATGAACAATTGTATACCAACAAATTGGATGAATGGACAAATTCCTGGAAACACACAAATTGCCAAAACTGACTGAAGAAGAAATAGAAAAATGCAGGGGTAACAACTTCCAGTTAAACACAGCAGACTGAACAAGCTTGTTTACACAGTCCCTCCAGAAACACCACTGCAAATATCTGCAAAAAATTATGCAAACATAAACAAGTCAAAGCTCACAAAGACATAGACGGCCAGAGAGGAGAGCAGAGCAGATAAAAGCTTAAAACACAGTTTTAGAAGAAGGAAAACAGATGCAGGAGCAGTAACTGACTCTGCAGAGCACAGACAGCTGTCACTAAGTGGCTATGGAGGAAGATGCTGAGCTGAAGGTAGCCATCCTCTGCACAGAAGGCTGGAGAAGCTCTGCACCCAGAGACATGGTAGGCAGCAGGGGCAGGCGTGAGCGGTGAGGGATGGGCGATATGTCTGGTTGAGCATGGGGGAGGTGGATCAGAGTCCACCTGTGGAACATTTAGCTGACCCCGCACAGCCAGCAGCTGGCCTCATCCACCTCACAGGAGGCAAGAAGGCTTTGACATCAGGACACCAGAAATGTGGAGGGTGGGAAGCACCAGACAGAAGAGAGTGGGACTTAGTGACAGACAGATCCTTGAATAACTAGGATCCTTCTTGGAAGACAGAAAGGGAATATTTGCTTATCAGAACTTAGGAAGCTGTGGGAAGTAAGACAATAGGGCATTAGTGCAGGGATAGACAAATTGACCAATGAAATTGATTTGAGAGCCCAGAAATAGACTCACAAATGCGCATGTATGAAGCTTTGTTAGGGGACAGAGGTGGCTTGTTAGATCCGGGGAAAGGAGGGACTCTTCAATGAATGGAGCTGGAAAAATAGAAGTCCACATGGGAAAAGTTGAAGTTGGATCCCAACCTCACACCACACACTCAAATAAACTGTAGATAGCGTAAGGACTCAACTTCGAAAATAAAAAATTTAAAGCTTTTACTAGAAAGTATAGGTGACTCTGTTTTATGCCTTTGGGTGAAAGATTTATTAACCAAGACCAAAAAGCATTATCTATAAATATTTATAAATGTGGCTATATTGAAACTCCTGGCTCTGGTTCATCAAATGTCATGTTAAATTAAACATGGAGTCAAGTGGTGCAATGACACTCTATCTGTAAGTCACCCAACTGACAAAGGGTTTGTATCAAGAATATACATAGAACTCATATAAATCTATAAGAAAAGCAGAAAGACCCCAAGAGAAAAACGGGATAAGGACATGAGCAAGTATTTCACACGGAGGAAACTCATGCGGCTAACATGCATTCAGCATCACTAATCACGAGGGAAATGCAGGAAGAGACCACAGTCGGCTGGCGGTCCACGCCACGCAATCTGCAATTCCAAGTGTTGGAGAGGATATGAATCAATGGGATTCCTTATACGTTGCTGTGAGAGTGTAAATTGTACAAGCACTTCAGAAAACAGCTTGGCTTTGTCTTGCAGAGCTAACATTCGTATACACAGCAATTCCACTCCTAGGAGTCGGCCCTTGCACTCTCCAACAGTGGCAGCACCCACCTGGGAGCAAAAGCCTGGAAACCATCCCGAGGCTCTTCCCCCACAGAGGGGATGAGCAAATGTGGTATGGGAAGAAATGTTACAGAAGCAAAAGCAAATGGAGCCCACTGACACACAGTATGGAGTCTTGGCTATTTAGTATTAAGTGAAATAGGTGATCCCCCAAAGACTCCAAAACACGATGCCCTTTTTGTAAAACAAAAAGTAACCAATGTACGGAGTGTATGCACTTTTTAGGAACACGTACAATCTAAAGAACAAAATTGGAAGGAAAACAAGAGAGTGAAGTGCACAGTGAGTGCGGGGACTCAGAGGGGCCACATAAGCAGATGGAGGCCATCAGGACCCTGCCTTTTTGGGTGGTGGTGCTTCTTCTGTTATCAAAAATGAATAACTAAAGTGTCAGTAAATGAAAAGAGCAGGTCACGCACAGAGCAACGGCGAGTCTGTGTCCCCACCCAAGGGTCATGACCAGTGCAGTTCTGTGCACCAAGGTCCAGAACAAGTGTGTGTGGTGGGGAGGCACCTCCCACTGACTGAGCATCACTCCGAGCCAGCCCCTCGGTAGCAGTGCTCACGGCTCCTCACTCAATCTGCACACGCATCCTCCTCTGGAAAGTAGATGTCAACATTCCCTTAGTTCCTTAGGAAGAAATAGGGCGTCAGAGAGGTTTAAGCAGCATCCGCAAGCTTCTAACACCAGTAACATCTCCACACTAGAACGGAACCCAGGTCTCTAGGATGTCAAAGCCCAAGGACACTTCCCAGTGCCAATTAGTTTCCTAATCACTCTGCTAAGAGCTGCTGGCCGTGGAGTCACCTGCAGAGAGGGGAGACCAGGGGGCAGCCGGGGGACATCAGGGCAGCCGGATCAGACACAGGTTCCGGACTAAGCCTGCGGCTGAGCCAAGGTCCCCGGCTGGGTCCGGGGTGTGGGCCAGATGCCGGCGTCAGACTCTTATGGATGTGGAAGTGGGGTTAAGGGCTGGGGTCTGCCCCTCATCTCCAGATGGAGTCAAGGACAAAGCCTAGACTTCAAGTGCGTCCTTCTGAGTCTCTGCTGCTACGGAAGCGAAAATGGGCCCCACTGTCTGAAAGAGACGGGGAGTCGAATCGTGCAGGCCCCCCTCGCGGCATAAGTCACGCTGGAAGGGAGCGCCCAGGAGGTGTGCGAGGACCTGTGCACCCTCAGGCCCTGTGGCAGTCTTGCCTTCCGCTCCGTCCTCCACAGCTCTCTACACTCCCCTGCTCGCAAGGCTGTTCCCCCTGAGCTTGCGTCCACGTGAGGGTCTGCCTCATGCACCTTGGCTGGGGCCACCCAGTCCTGCCCACACACCTGTCCTGGGTGTCATCAGCACTTCTCAGCGACGTGCTCATTTACAGGCTTCCTCGCTCAATTTGCCTTTGACCTCTGCGGGCGTCTCACATGCACACTCACATGCTCTGTTTTTTGATCATAAGTCACACACACACCCTGTTTATTCCCCATCTGTTCCCTACACACACACTTATTCCCCAACATTATAGAAAGCTGCAAACACACAGAAGGGTCCGAAGGATTGTCGGAGAACGCTCTGCGCCACTGCTGACGTGTGTCCTGCGCCCTCACCACGGGACTGTCCGCCAGCACCCTGTGCGGTGCGTTTCAGAGCTGGCTGCAGATAGCGGTGCACTTCGCCAGAGCGTGCACAGGAGGCTCCAGCTTTAGTAACCTGTCTCTGTGCTTCCTCTGCTTCTGTCACACACACACACACGTCCCACAGTCACGGATATGTCCTGTCTCGCACTTTTTCTTCTGTCCCCTGCTCACCTATGTGGCCATTTGAGTAGCATCTCTGGGTACACTAAATGCTGGCCACCAGTCAAACAGGCCATCCAGAGGATCCTCCTCACCTCAGTTTGGGGGGAGCCTCAGACCCCACACTGGGCTCCCGGCCCTGCATGTGAGGCTCTGTGACCAGCAGCTCGGGGCTTACCTCTAGTGATGGAGCGCTCTCTGGGATGCCCTCTGAGGCGCTGGCACCGGTGGAGCTCTGACTTGAGCAAAAAGACATAGATGGCAGCGGTGGCAGGAACTGCTTCCACTTTACTCTGCTGGGATGGGGCAGGAAAGAAGGTACACGAGTCAACGCAGAAGGCCCTCGCCTCGGGGAGGGAGTGCGCAGAGGGCCACTGAGGGCTGCAAAGTGTCATACGAATGTCTTGTCATGTGGTTTCCCTCGTGTCAGCACAATCTCAGGAACAGGCCGCTCCTGGGAGGTTGTTTGAGTGCTTGGGGGTTGACTGAACAGTAAACAGCCATAAGATTCATGCAGAAAGGACCCTGCGTGCCTGCTGGTGGGATGGTGCAAAGAGACGCTTCCATCCGCCAACAGAAAATTAAAACAAGCCACAAGGTGGATCTTAGACGAGTGAAACGCCTTTAAAATTAGAAAAAAAGTAGCCTCCTGTGTGATGGAGCCTACTCTCTATTCATATACTCATTCCATTTAGTCAATTTCTACACAACCATTCAACAGATAGACCAGAAGGAATCCTCCCAATGAGTCTGTCTGATAGCTATCACTAGAAAGAGACATTTTATAAAGTCCCACACAAAGTTTTCCACTAAAATATGCCTGTGACTAACATCATCACACACCCAGCCACCAACTGAGTGGACATGTTTTTTCTGCTGGCATGGTTTAGACAGACAAAGGCCCTGATCTCTAGGAACTGAAACTTGACCTGCTAGAGTAGGTGTGGTCTAAAGAATGAGGCTGTGAGCGGTTGTCTAAAGTGCCAATTTGATCAACTGGATCCAAACTATTAGGTTACTCTAGAAATATTTTCTGCAACAAAAATGGACTGATAGTATTTTATTGCCCATTGCATCTAGAAGATTTGTGAACTTACACTGTGTTAGTGTAATCCTTTTGACACAATTAACCCTTTAATTAAACAAGGTTAGCTCATTTTCTTGTTGGGGAAGTAAAGTCAAGCCATCGAAAATGAAAGAATGTTCCAACAAAGAGGAATATAATACATTTCAAAGATGGAATAGTTTATACCCAACAATATCACATCATATTTTTTCTTTTAACAGAACAATGTTCAAAATCTATAGACTTTAAAAACCAGTCTCCTAAAGAGTTGTACAGTGAGTTGCTCTGCCCCTTTGGGTTGCAGAATGGAGAGACAGTGACGCCCCCCAGAACCCAGGCCCAATATTCTCAGGCCCAGAATGCTGGAGCTTCCCACACGCAGATTTCACTTGGGGGCGGAGCTTCCTGAGCAAGACTCAGGAGGAGTGTGGGTTGGAACTTCGGGCCCCTCCCCCACCAAGGGGAGACAGACTTCCGGGTAGTGTCTGTGTCTCTTTGTGGAGCTACAATGCTGGGGAACCAGCACTGGTCCCTCACAAAATAATGTCATGCAAGTTGTCCATTAATATATTGTTGGGGGAATAACAAAGGAAGCTTCAGACTAATGTGTATGGTATCATAACTTTCCAATGCGAGTGAATTTTTTGTATGTGCATAGGGAAAAAAAGTGTGGTGGTTCGACTCTCTGTGTTAAAATGGTACTCTTGAGGTGGTATTCCAGAAGAGAGGTAGAGAATATTTTTATTTTATATGCTGTTATTGTATTTAAGTGGTACATGAGCATGCATTATGGTTAGGATTTTTAAGAATACATTAGGTATTAAAGACTTCCCCCTACTCCATCTAATAGTTTCCCCATGATCCAGGGCTACTGGGCTGGAAGGACTAAAACCAGCTTGGTGCACTGACTCATCATGGCCCAGGATGCTGCCGTGTGCCCTTATCAGTCAGGGTCTAAGTGGTCCCCGGAGGAACCCTGAGCAGCTCACACAAACATGATATGTGGGTCCAGCTTCTGAGCAAGAGAGAAGAGCCTCCCTCACATCCCCTCCCTGAATTCTGTCCCTGTCTCTGGGCTTATGCCTCTCAGTCCCCGTCCCCAGCTTGGCCATCTGACTGCTCTGTCAGCAGAATAACCTTCATGGTCATGGCAAAGGCCCACCAGAGAGCCCGGGCCAAGACAGCAGCAGCCAGTGCGCTCTTTTGCGCTGGGTGGGGGCGGGGCAGTTCCCTGTGGGGACCCAGAGCAGCCTCTCCCACACCCTGCTCAGCAGTTAGCGTTCCCTGCAATGAGATGGCGAGGGCAGGGAGGATCTGGAAGAGAGGGGCTTGTGTGTGTGTGTGTGTGTGTGTTTGACAGGTGAGATTCAAGTAAATGTCTTGTTCTTTTTAATTTTACTTTTATTTTAAATGGTATTAAATGGCACTAGATGAAAAGTTATTGAGATCAGAGGGTACGGATGCAATATCCAAACACTTAAAACAGAGGAAAATGTTTTCTAGAAGTAGCTTTTAGTGATAAAGGTAAAACGTGCTCACTGTATCCTCAGGTAAATATTGTAGAGAACAAAGAATATATAACTTACATTCATGCCGTGAGTATATTTCTTTTACTCAATATTATTCTAGGAGAAGATGACTTTTCGTGGCTGCACACAGTTGTGTCATGGGTACAGAGTTACTCTTTAAAATGTGTGCTTGGACCCGGATCGAGATCTGTACACTGGGCGCCTCTGCCTCTGTGAGTTGAAGGTGGAGAGCCGTGTGCACGTTGGGTTGGCCTGTGTGCGCTGTCCCTGGGGCAGGCCTGCCATCAGCGAGCGTATTTACTAAGCAAGTGCTTGACTCAAGAAGAGTCCACAGGACAAGCCCTGACCTCACCCAACACCACTACAAACCATTAAGAGGACGCCCAGCCTCACAGTGCTGCACTGGTCACAGAAAGAGAAAACAAATGAGCATTGCTTATATCTGTGTGTTAGTTCAGATGTCAGTTGTGAAAATGGAGAGAAAACTTATTAGAATTTTTCAAGTAAGGTAAGTGCAATAAGCTACACGAATGGCCCTCCATGTCAATAATGTCAACTGAAACAATTTTATTTTCTATCGTGTCTTCACAGTATTTTAAAATATCCCATTACAGATGAATTATTTTCCTAAGTAATTTTAATTAAGATGAGTAGACAGCTATTTTTCAGACAGATAAAATAACTCCAGTAAGTTTACAAACTCACCCAAACCCAGGTGATCTCTGGTTCCCACGTGCTCCCTGTGAGGGCATAAACAATAACTCATAAAATGAAAAAAGAAGTTGTTGGCATTGCGCTTATTCTTAAACAAAAATCAAGTCCATTTTTAGTCCAGTTCGAGTAATGGTACCTCAGGGGCTCCTGGGTCTGGGGAAAGGATCTCTGGCGGGATAGGATCCTTCCTCCCAATCCTTGTGGTATTATGGCCTGAATTGTGTCCCCTCTGATTTCCTATGCTGAAGTCCTAACCCCTAGTAACTGAGCACGTGACTGTATTTGGAGACAGGGTCTTTAAAGACGTAATTAATGTTAAATGAGGTCATTAGGGTGGGCCCTAATCCAATATGACTGGTGTCCTCATACAAGGAGGAGGTTAGGACAAAGGTACACGCAGAGGGATGACCATGTGAAGATGTAGGGGAGATGGTCAAGGAGGAGGACTCTGAAGAATCCAACCTTGGCTACACCTTGATCTCAGAGTTCTAGCCTCCAGAATTGTGAGAAAATAAATTTGTTGTGGAAGCCATCCAGTCTGTGGTACTTTGTTATGGCAGCCCTAGCAAAGAAATACATCATGTTCCACGTGCACAGGTTTTCATTTCTCTTTGGTAAGAACCCAAGAGTGGGAAGGTGGGTCATATGATAAGTATATATTTAACTTAAGATGCCGCCACACTGCTTGCTGATAAGGTGTCACTTTCTGTTCCTATTTTAGCCCCACCAGCAGTGCAGGAGACTGCAGCTCCTCTGAATCCTCACCAACACTTGGTATTGTTCATCTTTTCTATCAAAACCATTCTAGTGGGTATGTAGTGATCTGTGCTTATTTCTGCCCCTGTGAAATGGGGATAATACAATTATCTGCCTGTGAGGCTTTTTGTAAAGGTTAAATGAGATAATCCATGTGCTAGCACAGTTCCTTTCCTCCCCTGTGTTCTGAAAGAGTTTGTGTACAGCTGTTATTATTTTTAAAAAAAGATTTGGTAGAATTCACCAGTGTAGTCATCAGGACCTGGGAGTTTCTATTTTTTATTTATTTAGTTTTGGTAAATTCGTGTAAATTGACTGGAAAGGTAACTACTTTTCTTAAGTGAGAGTGCATTTTTCAACATTGGAAGATTTGGAATTAAGTATAGAAATGTTTGAGAGACCCAAACCTATAATATTACTATTGTTGCACTAGGAAGCCATCTGTGCATATTTGGTATTTATGTTTTGAATGCAGAAGACAATTTGTCCTGCAGTGGGTGGGGTGGGGAAAGTATGAGCCCTCAGGGTCTTCAATCTCTGCCCACACTTAGGAGGCGAACTGGGCATCATTACCTAAGCTTGGCCACCAGGGTGGAAATAATAAAGATCTGTCTCAGAGAATTCTCAGCAGGATTAACTGTGATGATGGATGACAAGTGTCTGTCACAAGTGAGTGGCAACAACAGAATCATGGCTGACTGGGATTCCTGAGACAGGATGGTGATAAGGTGGCCATGAGGCTGCTTGATCACATGTTCTAGAGGCACACTCAACAGCTGCACATCAGGGAGAAGAGGACTGAGCATGTCCACCCCATCACAAGTAGACGGGGTGCACAGTCAACGCTGGCACATTTACCATTGCTTTGCTTCTTGAAAGCTGTCCTTCCTGTCACTCTGAGGAAGCTGTCTATACACTTGTGCCGTGTGTGGCATCCACCACACAAGAAGGGGGGGCAGGAGTGGGGTGCCAACAGATGCTACATCTGCCACAGCCACCGCTGTGCCTCCTGGAATGGGGCACTATCCTGGTCCTCCCCAGGAGCTGGCTCTGGCTGTGGCTCCACTTATGTAAGTTGCTGGGTTCCCGTAACATGCGTAAATGCTGTACGGCTGGATAGCAGGAAGTGGCTGGGAGGGGTCGTGCCATAACTGTGTTGCCTGGTTGAAGCTGTGACTTTGTCAGTTACACCCAGTCCCCACGGAAGACCAGCCTCCAGTATCTCCAAGACGGACTCTCACTCCAGGCTCAGCTCTGGGCAGCTCAGTAATGAACTGTCTGGTTCAGGGATGTCCCTCAGGGATGGACCTCATCCTCCCTGCTGACCAGGGAGATGCTCAGGTGAGCCCTTCACCGTGACGATAAGTGGGTTGTATGAGACCAGGAGGGACTCACAGACCCTGCTGGCCAGAATCGTTCTGGGAAACTGTGGGAGTGGGGCAGACGTCGGCACACCTGACGAGGCGTGACACGGCGCTTCCTTAGAGTAACCCCAGCGCCATACCCACTGTCTCTGTCTCACACGCACACATGCTCCACACTGAGGAATATTTTGTGTCACCTACTCTATTTTCCTTTTATTCACCACCCGCCACTGTTCCCGTGTGAGCAGCATCCCCGAGAACACTGTAAATGCTTAAAACCAGTCAAACACGCAGACGAGCAAATCCTGTCCAAACCTCGGTTCTCGGGGGAACCCAGACCCGACATTTGGCCCTCCCCCTGTATTTGAGGCTCGTGCCTGGCAGCTTGGATCTTACCTTCAGCAACGACAGGGAATCCACTGGGTATACGGTAACGATGAAGGACTGACTTGGGTCCACAGCTGGCGGCAGGAACTCCTTGGACTTCAGTCTGGTGGGGTGGTGCAGGAGGAAGGAAAGACACATGTCAGCAAGGAAGGACCTCGCTTCATGAAGGGAGTTCAGAATGGGCTGTCGAAGGCTGCACAGCATCATGCAAGGCTCATTATTGTGATTTTCCTTTTTTCTGTAGAACCTCAGAAACCAGCAGCTCTTGGGACACTGAGTGCTCTAGAGTTTCCTGCACAATGGAAAACCATCCCTCAGGGAACGGAGAAGGGGAGGAGTCACCTGGGAGGTAGGGGCCAGAGAAGCAGTGAGAGAAGTTTGGACCAGCAAGGGGAGGGTGGTGCCATGTGACCCTGCAGGTCAGGAGGAGAGTTGGGCCAGGAAAGGCCTTGGATTTGGCAGGAAGGAGACTTAGGTTTACCACGAGTAATGGTGGGGATATAGCTCTTGGCATGAGTCATGGGTCACTCAGTAATTTGAACTGGAAGGCAGAAGACAAAGAGAGAGCCAACTGGGAAGGAGCAGTCTTGGTTAAACTGTGTTTAGACAGAGAGAGCACTGCGTGCCTAAAAATCTCAGGTCAAGGCAGGCATGAAACCAAAGACCCTCAGACTCCATCTCTCTCTGGGTGACCGTGGCAGTCTCCTGACTGTCTTCTTGCCATCCCAGGCCAGCCACTGTCCACTCAGCTACAAGAGCCATTTGTTTTTCTTGGGTGTGTATGTGTGAGGAAGATTGGGCCTGAGCTAACATCCATTGCCAATCTTCTTCTTTTTGCTGAGGAAGATGAACCCTGAGCTAACATCTGTGCCCACCTTCCTCTACTTTGTATATGGGATGCTGCCACAGCATGGCCTGATGAGCAGTGTAGGTCTGCACCCAGGATCCGAACATGTGAACCCTGGGCCACCAAGTGGAGCACGTGAATTTAACCACTACACCACCAGGCCAGCCCCCAGAGCCATTTTTGTAAAGCATGAATCCTACAGTGTCCCTTCACTGCTCAAGACTTTTCAATAATATGGAAGTCCTCACCGGCCCTCAAAGTTCAACCTCAGCATTCCCTGTATTAGAATCCCTGCGACCTTGGATAAAAACAGATTCCTTGGCCCCAAATCAACCTACAGGATCCGCATCTCTGGGGAGATGGGAAGCAGCATTTTCACACCGCCCATTCTGAGGGCCTGTGCACTGGCTTGTTCCTCCAGATCTTACAGCCCTTGCCACTTCACTCCCTCAAGGCCTCTGCTCCACGCCACCTCCTCAGATCGCCACATCAAAACCACTTCCTGTTGCCCCTTGCTCTCTCTTACCTTCACCCTTCTTCATAACATGTTTTACGAGCTCAGATGTAATTATTGTGTATCTATTGGTTGATGGGATTTGTCTGTCTCATTCACTATGTTTCCAGTGCTTAGAACACTGCCTGGTACATAAAAGTCACTCGATACAAATGTGTTTAAAATTCCAATCCTGTTGTTGGTAAATGATAGACAGAAACCATGTGGCAAGCAGAATGTGGGTCCTCCATCTCAGCCTCAGTGTCACATCTCTGAATCTGTCTAATTACACATGAAAAATACTTTACAGATAGAATTCAGGTTACTAATCAGTGACCTTAGATAGGAGGTGTAGTGGGTTGAAATGTGTCCCCCTCCAAAATTCACGTCCACCCAGAACCTCAGAATGTGATCTGATGTTGAAACAGGGTCTTTGTAGATGAAATTAGTTAAGGATGATCTTGAGAGGAAATCAACGTGGGACTAAGGGGGGCCCTAAACCCAGTAACTGGTGTCTCTACAGAAGGAGGAGAGGGCACAGAACACAGGAGAGAGGTCATGTGAAGATGTAGGCAGAGATTGGAGTGGCACTGCCAAAAGCCATGGAATGCCAGGAGCCACCAGAATCTGGAAGAGGCAAAAGGTCCTCCCCTAGAGCTTCCAAAGAGAGAGAGCAGCCCTTCCAACACCTTGATTTTGGACTTCTGGCCTCCAAAACTGTGAGAGAACAAATTTCTGTTGTTTTAAGCCACCCAGGATATGGTAATCTGTTGTAGCTCTCTAGGAAACGAATACTGGAGGATTATGCTGGATTACCCAAGTTGGCCCCCGAGCCTTTAAAAACAGAGAAATGAGGAAGAACTGTTGAGAGAGACTCAAAACATAAGAAGGACTTAACCTGCCATTGCTAACTTGAAGATGGAGGGGGAAAGTGAAAAGCATGAGAAGAAATGAATTCTGTCAATATACCAACTGAGCTTAGAAGTGGATTCTTCCCCAGAACCTTCAGAAATGAATGGAGCCCTGGTGACACATGATCGCTGTCTTGTGAGACGCAGAGGACTCCATTTCATTCGACCCAGTTTCATTCATGGGGATTTCTGCCCCATGGAAACTGTGAGATAATGAATGCTTTAAGCCACTGTTGTGCTAGTTTGCTATGCAGCAGTAGAAAACTAATACAAGCCACTTGGTGGACGTTAGCTGAGTGGAACTCCTTTAAAATTAGGTGAGCTATATCTTTGTGTGTGTGACCCTATTCCTTATTCATATTTTCATCCTATCCATGTAATATTCCACAACAGATGAACAGTTCAGGAGAAATACTCAATAAATTGGTGTGATAACCACAACTATAAGAGACACTTATAACGTCCTACACAAAGTTCTCCACTGAAATAGGCCCGTGATAATATCTTAACACTCCACACGCACTTACCTAGGGGATTTTTTCCATTGGCATGGTGTCACATGATTTAGATATATTCCCTGATCTCTGGGAGCTGAGTTCTGACCTGCTATAGTAGGCTTGGCCTGAAGAATAAGGCTGTGAACAGTTATCTCAAGTGCCTATTTGGTCGACTGGATCCACACCATTATGTTACCCTAGAAACAGTAATTTATTTCCTATTTCATCTGGAGGATGTGTAACTTACATTATATTTGTATTCACATTTTACACATCATTAATCCTTTCATTAAATAATGTTAGCTCATTTTCCTGTTGGAGAAGCATGGACTGGATTGAAAATGAAGACTGTTCCTGTGAAAAGGAATATGATACACCCCAAGGTGGAAGAGGAGACATAAAAGCCTAGGTTTTTCTTCTAACAGAATGAACTTTACAATACATGAGGTATAAAAAGAAGGCTCCTAAAAATTGTATATGATCATTATTTTCTAAAAGAAAAAATTATGTACATAATGTACAGAGAAATTATTAAAAGGAAAGATGAAAGATACAAATCAAAATTTCAGCAGTAGTTATTTGTGGGTGGGGCAATCTGAGTGTCTTTCATTTTTACAGGGAATTTTGTGTTTCCAAATTTTCTATAATGAACATGCATTGATTTGGCAATCCAAAAAAAATTTTACGGTGGAAGTTGACCATCCTGGTTCCAGTTAAGTTTCTATCATTCTTGCCAGAAAAGGGGAAATGAGAAAATGTTCTTAGATTTCTTCACTTAAAGGATCATAGTAGGATGATATTTCGAAGTTAAATTCAGAAGGATTTGGATTTACACAATTGTATTGTCAATCAGGTCCCTAAAGAAACCAAGTCAGAAGAAAAATTATTGGGTTGTTTGAAAGAGAATGATATTTTTACACTCAACTAGATTTACTTGCTGATTGTTAAAGTACGTACAAATCTAAGAAATGCTCAGCATTTGAGAAACTAATGGTGCACGACTCCCAAAATTCCCTTTTCTGAGCCAAGGAGCCTCTTTGCCCCTTCCGGCTGCAGAACGGCGGGAGGGCGACGCCCGCAGGGGCACCGGCCCAGCCTCTCTGTCCCACCGCAGACACTGCAGCACCCCCTGCACGTTCGCGTAGAGGGGCGGAGCTTCCGTGCGCCCCCCAGGAAGGGCGCGGGCCTGCGCTTCCGGCCCCTTTTCCGCCCAGAGGAGACTGACTTCCGGGACTTCCCTGTGCCTCAAAGCGGAGCTGTGACCCTGGGAAAAAGCATTAGTACGTCCCAAGTGAAGGTGTATATTTAACGCAATGCCAATGCGAAATCCAGGTTTCTTGGAATGGACAAAATGATTTTAAGATTTATGTGGAAAAATAAATTTGTGTGAATTGGTAAAAATTTAGAAAAATGAAAAAGCCTTGAGAGGAATTTGTCTACCAGATATTAAAAGGTAGCTAAATGAAGTGCTACGATAGAAACAGCACAGTGCTACTGTAGGACACAGGTGAATGAGACAGAAACAAGTGTCCAGAATTACTGTCGATGGGAACTCCGGGCATTAAAAAGAGAGCCTTTGGGGCCAGCCTGGCGGCACAAGCGGTTAAGTGCGGGTGCCCCGCTGCGGCGGCCCGGGGTTCACCGGTTCGGATCCCGGGCGCGCACCGACGCACTGCTTGGCAAGCCATGCTGTGGCAGCGTCCCATATGAAGTGGAGGAGGATGGGCACAGATGTTAGCCCAGGGCCAGTCTTCCTCGGCAAAAATAGAGGAGGATTGGCAGATGTTAGCTCAGGGCTGATTTCCTCACACACAAGAAAAGAGAGCCTTTGACTTCGATGGGAAAAGGTAGATTATTAAATAAATGAGGTGGCAACCAATAGTTATGTCATTGGAATAAAATAACCTTGACACTATCTCACTGTATACAAAAACAAATTCAAGCTGAAAATCAAAACGTAGAGTAAGCAAATAAAAACTATGACTGTATTAGAAAGACAATTGGAGGATAGTTGTATAATCCTGCAGTAAAGAAGGCTTTTTAAGGTAAGACAAAAGAAAATTTTAACCAGGTTGGCTTCAGAAAAATTTCTGACCTCTAATGCAAAAGACACAATAAAGAAATTTTTTTTGAATGATAGACTGGATGAAATATATTTGAAACACATAGAACAAAGAATTAATAACTCTAATAGGCAAAGACCTCTTAAAATTGATAAGAAATATACAAATAACCCAATATAAAAATGGGTAAAATATTTGCAACCCTAGTTCACACAAGAGAAATTGTATAATGTTCAAACGCATGAAATGATGTATATTCCCACTGGTATTAAGAGATATGAACATAGAAACAATTACCTGTTTTATTTGCGTAAAACTAAATATACTGTCAGTATTTTGTGCTGAAAAGTTTGAGGAAATTGATGGAAGTGAGAATTACTCTAACCTTTTGGGAAAGTAATCGTGAAGAATCTATGAAGATTTAAAATGTGCAGGCCCTTTGACTTCTGGACAGCCTACAGAAATAAAACCAATTGTACCTGACAATATTGGCACAGAGATGCTTCTTGTAACTCTATTTGCAAAAGCCAAACCTGCCATAACCTCAGTGTCTATCAGGGGAGAATGGCTGACTAAATCATGGTATATCCATTCTGTGGAAGAGTATGAAGTTCCTGATGAGGAGGAATTCTATCTATACAAAATGCCATATAAGTTGTCCACAATATATTGTTGGGGGTATAAAATAGGAAGCTGCAGACTAACGTGCGTGGTATAATTTGAACTTCTTCATGGAAGTTGTTTGTATATGGATAGAAAACAAAGGTGTAGTGGGACACACACTCTACTGTTGAGATATTGCCCTTGAGGTCGTATTGGGGAGGGGAGGTGGAGAATAGTTTATATACTGCTATTGCATTTAAGTGGTACATGAGCATGCATCATGGTTAGGATTTTTAAGAATACATTAGGTATTAAAGACTCCCCCCTACTCCATCTAAAAGTTTCCCCATGATCCAGGGCTACTGGGCTGGAAGGACTAAAACCAGCTTGGTGCACTGACTCATCATGGCCCAGGATGCTGCCGTGTGCCCTTATCAGTCAGGGTCTAAGTGGTCCCCGGAGGAACCCTGAGCAGCTCACACAAACATGATATGTGGGTCCAGCTTCTGAGCAAGAGAGAAGAGCCTCCCTCACATCCCCTCCCTGAATTCTGTCCCTGTCTCTGGGCTTATGCCTCCCAGTCCCCGTCCCCAGCTTGGCCATCTGACTGCTCTGTCAGCAGAATAACCTTCATGGTCATGGCAAAGGCCCACCAGAGAGCCCGGGCCAAGACAGCAGCAGCAGCCAGTGCGCTCTTTTGCGCTGGGTGGGGGCGGGGCAGTTCCCTGTGGGGACCCAGAGCAGCCTCTCCCACACCCTGCTCAGCAGTTAGCGTTCCCTGCAATGAGATGGCGAGGGCAGGGAGGATCTGGAAGAGAGGGGCGCGCACCCGTGCGCGCGTGTGTGTGTGTTTGCCTGTCTTTTATTACAATTTTAAAATTGTAATAAATAGCTCTAGATGAAATTTATTGTTGTTAAAGTGTAGGAATGCAGTATCTAAACACTTAAGATTTAAAACATATGAAAAATGTTTTATAAAAGTAACCTTTTCTTCCAGTTTTATTGAGATATAATTGACATATAACAATGTATAAGGTTAAGGTGTAGAACATGATGATTCAATATGTGTATATATTATGAATGATTACCATAAGTTTAGTTAACATCCATCACCTCACATATTTACAATTTTTTTTTCTTGTGATGAGAACTTTTAAGTTCTCTTAGCAACTTTCAAATATATAATCCAGTATTGTGAACTAGTCTTTTTTTTTTATCATAGAGGTAGGATATGCTCATTGTGTTCTGAGGAAAATACAGTGGGAACAAGAAGTAAATAATGTGCTTCCTGCTGTGGGTTGGATTGTGTCTTCTCGAAAATGCTATATTGGAGTCCTGGCCCCCGATTAGGATGAATACAAACTCATACAGATTTTGGTACTGGGGAGTGGAGTGCTGCTGTAAGAAATATCTAAAAATGTAGAAGTGACTTTGGAATTGGGTAATGAATAGAGGCTGGAGGAGTTTTGGGTGAATGATAGAAAAAGCCTAGATGGCCTTCAAAAGGCTGTTGGTAGAAACATGGACATTAAAGGCGAGAATTCGGAAAGATTAGAGAGCTGTAGAGAAAGCTGCTATCATCTTAGAGAATACACGTGTCGTCATGAACAGAATGTTGCTAGAATCATGAAAGTTAATGGTGCTCTGGTAAGGTCTCAAATGTGACAAAGTGAAGAAAGGCCATCAGACTTCTGGGATTCTCCAGTAGAAAATGGGCCTATAGAGCCATCTGGCCATGAACATGTGTTATCCTTTAAGAAAAGGGGAAAATGCCCCAAGATCAGGGCCACCTCCTTGGTTCCAGAGGGTGAAGCCACCTCCTCCGTTCTCAAGGAGGTGAGGTTGCCTCCCCACCAGGCCATCTTTGTTAAGCAGAATTGGCACTGCAAGATGAACCAAACAGGATTAAGGTGCCTGATGCTGACTCTCATCATGGTTTTGTCTGGTAAAGTGAATGATTAGAGAACTTGGGGCTGAAAACATCTCAACTGATTCTCAAACTTTAAATGGGAAGGAAGCCCAGCTTCCTGGCGTGGAGCTGGGTGTGTTGGGGCCATCAACTGGGTGGGCCTGGTGACAGCACAGAGCATCAAACCTAAGAGGATTCTTCTCAAGACAAAATCTAAGGAATTTGCCCTGCTAGGTTTCAGATTTGCTTGGGACTGGTGACTCTTTTTTCCTTCTGATTTCTTCCTTTTGGAATGGGACTGTCTATCCTATGCCTGTCCCCTCATAGTATTTTGGAAGCAAATAACTTGTCTAGTTTCACAGGTTCACGATGGAGAGAGATTTTGTCCAGGAGGAATCATACCGAGTCTAGCCATAACTGATTTGGATAATTTAGATGATGAGATTTGGGACTTTTGAGTTGATGCTTGAATTGGAGGAAGTTGTGATGGGGTGAATTGTTTTGCACGTGGGAAGAACATGGATTTTGGAAGGCCAGAAGGCAGCCTGTTATGGGTTAAATTGTGTCCCTTCCAAAAAGATACATTGGAATCTTAACTCCCAGAACCTCAGAATATGACCTTATTTGGAGATAGGGTCTTTCAGAAGCAATCAAGTTAAAATGAGGTCAACAGAGTGGGCATTAATCCCAATATGAATGGCAGCCTTATAAAAAGAGGAAATTTGGACACAGACAGACAGACACAGAGGGAAGATGATGTAAAGAGACACAGGGGGTGATCGACATCGACAAGCCAGAGAGAGAGGACTGAACAGATCCTACAGCCCTCAGAAGGAATAGATCCTGCCAACACCTTGATTCCAGACTTCTAGCCGCCAGCACAGTGAGACAATACATTTCTACTTTTTGAGCCACCTATTGTGTGGTGCTTTCTGATGGTGGCTCTAGCAAACTAAAACACTTACTATAACATTTTGAGTCTATTTTTTGTTTCTCGATATTCCAAGATGACTTTTCATGGCTGCACACAGTATCATCATGGAGACAGAATATACTTTTAAAAATGTGTACTTACCTTTATAATGGACCACTCTCTGCTTTTGTGATTTTCAAGGTGAAAAGTCGCGTGCACGTTGTGTGCACATGTGCTTGTGTGCAGTGCTCCATCAGCACAGCTGACCTTTACTTAGCATCTACTTGACTCAACATTGACTCAAAATGAGCATGCCTGTCTCTCAGGAGCTTAATCAAAACCAAGTATTATTAGAGACCATAGAAAGGACATTCAGACTCAACTTCACACGTGTTCTCTGACTGACAAAAAATGAATGAGCATTGTCTTATTTTTGTATATTAGTTCGGATGTTAGTTATAAAGAAGGGAGAGAATAATTATTGTAGTTTTTGCAAGTAAGATAAATAAAAATGAGATACATGAATGGCTATAAATGTTAATAATGTTAAGTGAAACGATTTTATTTTCTATTGTGTTATCACATTATTTAAAAATATCCCATCACAGACTGATTATTTTCCAAAGTAATTTGAGTTAAGAAGAGAACGTAGCTATTTTTCAGACAGAGAAAACAACTCTAGTAAGCGTACAACTTACCCCTGTGCAGATGAACTCAGGTCGACAACTGTTTGCTGTGGGGGTAAACGAAAATTAATAAGACAGAAAAAGAAGAAATTGTTGATATTGAGGTTATTCTTTCAGAAAATTCAAGTCCGTTATTAGTCAGTTTCAAGTAACAGCATCTCAGGGACTTCTGAGGCCTGGGAAAGGATCTCACTGGTGGGAAAAGAGCCTTCCTCCCAAACCACGTTACATGCACACAGGTGTTCTCATTTCTCGTTAGTAAGAACCCAGGAGTGGCAAGCCGGGTAAAATGAGAAGAATATATTTAAGTTTTTAAGAAACTGCCAAACTGCTTTCCAAGTGGTGTCACTTTAAATTCCCATTTTACTTTCAACTACCAACGTATGAGAATTCCCGTTCCTCCACATCTTCCCCAGCACCTGGTATTGTTGGTCTCTTTGCTTCTGGCCATTCTGACTGGTCTGTAGTGGTATCTTATTGTGGTTTAATTTGCACTCCCTTAATGTCGAAGGCTGTCGACCACCTTTTCACGTGCTTATTTGCCCCCCACAGATCCTCCTTGGGGAAGAGTTTGTTCAAATCTTTTGCCCATTTTAAAAACGGGTTGTTTTCCCTTACTGAGATTTGAAAGTTCTTTCTGTGTTCTGGATACAAGTATACAGTTTGCAAATATTTATTCTGGTCTGTGGCTTATAGTTTTATTTTTGTAATGGTGACTTTTGAAGAGTGGATGTTTTTAATTTTGATGAAGTACAATTTTTCAATTTTTTCTGTAATAGTGCTTTTGGAGTCATATTAAAGAAAACTTTGTCTAACTCAAGATCACAAAGATTTTATTCTGTTTTCTTCCTTTATAACTTTAGTGTTGTGGTTTAGCTCTTAAATTTAGGTCTATGATCAATTTTGAGTTATTTTTTGTCTATGGTGTGACATAGGGCATTAAGGGGCTTTTTTTGGTTTTTGGTTTTGTTTTTTCATTTTTCTTTTTGCATATGGTTATTTAATTGTTCCAGCACCATTTATTGAAAATACTCTTACTTCTCCCCATTGAAATGCTTTGGCACCTTCGTTTAAAATGCATTGATCAGAAATGTAAAGGTTTGATTTCTGGAGTTTCTGTTCTGTTCCATTGATCTATACGTCTATCCTTATGCTAATCCCACAGTGTCTTCATTACTCTAGCTTTGTACTGAATTTTGATGTCAGCTTGTGTAAGTCCTCCAATTTTGTTCTTCTTTTTCCATATTATTTTGGCCACTTGAAATGCTCTGAATTTCCATGTACATCTTAGGATCAGCTTGCTATTGCCCTCAAGAAAAACGCTTGCTGGGAATTCAAAGAGATCATGGTAAGTCTATAGATAAATTTGGGGGAAATTGTCTATCATGGCAATATTGAGTGTTGCAACCCATGAATATTGTAACTCTTTCCATTTATTTGGATTGTGATTAATTTCTCTCAGCAATACTTTGTAGCTTTAAGTATGCAGATTTTGCACTTGTTTTGTTACTTTATTATTTTGGGTGCTATTGTGAATGGAATAGTTTTCTTACTACCATTTTCAGATTCTTCATTGCTAGTATATTGAAATACAATTGAGTTTTTATATTGCTTTTTGTATCCTACCGCCTTGCTAATCTATCTGATTATTTCTACTAGCTTTGTTGCAGATTAGTTAGAATCATGTTTCCTGCAGAAACATACAGTTTAACTTTCAAATCTGTATGCCTTTAATTTATATTTCTTGCTTTACTGCACTGGCTGGAACTTTCGTAAAATGTTGAATAGAAGTTTGGAGTGGACATTCTTGCTTGGTCCAGATCTTAAGGGGAAAGCATTCAGTATGAATTAGTTTTAGGTTTCGTCAGTGCTCTTCATCAGATTGAGGATGTTTCTGTCTTTTTGTATCGTAGGTTGTGAAATTCTTTAATCATAAATATATGTGTTATCATGTCAAATGCTTTTTCTGATTGATGTGCTCATATGTTTATTGTACTTTATTTTATTAATATGCTTATTACATTCATCTATTTTCAGACATTAAATCAACCGTGCATTCCTAGAATAAACCTCACTTAGTCACGATGTATAATCCTGTATATATGTGACTGCCTTTGGTTTGCTAATATTTTGTTAATGAGATTTGCCTCTAGAGTCATGAATGGTATCAGCTTATGATATTCTTCTTTTGTAATGACATTGTCTGGCTTTAGGATCATGTACTGGCATTCCAGAATGAGTTGGGAAGTGTTACTTACTCCTCTATTTTCTGAAAGAGTTTGTGGGTGATCGGTATTATTTTTCTTCAAGTATCAGGTAGAATTCACCAATGAAGCCATCAGGGCCTGGGCTTTTCTTTCTGGGGATTTTAAATTAGTAGTTCAGTGTGTTTACTTGTGTAAACTTTATGTGTAAAGGAGACACTTGTGTTTACTTTATGTCTATTTGAATTTTCCATTTCTTCTTGAACCAGTTTTGGTAATTTGTATCAACTAAGTAGAATGACAAATCTCTTTCTTAAGTCATAAAGCATATTTCAACCTTGGAACATTTATAATTAAATATAGAAAAGTTTGAGAGACCCCCAACCCATAATGTTACTATTTTTGTATTACAAAGTATTCAGTGCGCATTGGGTATTGGATGTTCTTCAATACTGAAGAGAATTTATCCTGCTAGGTGTGGGAGAGAGAGAGGTTTCAGCTCTCAAAGTCACAACGATCTGCCTGCACTTAGGAGAGGAGCTTGGCCCCGTTATCGCCTATTGGCCACCACAGAGAAATAAACTGTGTCTGGAGAATCTTTAGTGGGATTTAATGCAATGATCAACGACAAGTGTCTGTCAGAGTGGCGGCCCCAGGGTCAGGGCTGGCAGCAGGTGTTGAATGGGACTGTCCCAAGAAAATCAGAACAGGGGATCACCCTGCTTTTAATGACAGCAAAGAAAAATCCATGGCCACCTGCTCAAGGCTTGGAGTGAGGGTCACCTTTTAGTGGATGGGTCTTGTCGGGGGCAGGCTGGAGGCATGGTAGTTTCCACTAAACGTGTCTCCAAACTTCCAGCAGAAGTGCAAGCAAGGAAAAAGACTTTGCTAACAATATCTCTGTTACCAAAGGTGGGTGTCGACCCCTCCGTATTTATAAATTATTACAAGGAGGTCTCTCTCCGATGCCCTGCAGAGATTGCAGTGAGATGAAACCCCTCCCTCAGAGCACATGAAGTCATCTATACCCTTCAGACATCAGCGTAGTTGCAAACCCTGCTTGGAAATAGCCCACCGGAACCCCAGGCAGCTGATCTCTGGAGCAGCTGCAGAAATGGGTGGGCCTAAAAGGAGTCAGCCCTGCTGGCTTGGTCCTGGGAAGAGCGGACATAGAAATGACATAACACACACACGCACAGACAGAACCACACACCCACACCACACCAAACACACACACACACACACATCACTCACCCACACTCACCCACACACAGAACACACAATCTGACTCCACTTCTGTTTCCTACACAGTTATTCTCTAACATTTTTTATGAAAAATTTCAAACATCCAGAAAAGCTGAAAGGATTGTACAGAGAACACTGAAATACTCAACACCTAAATTCTATCATTGCTAAAATTTTGCCATCTGTTTGTTACCGCGTAACTGTCCATCCGTCCATTTATTTTCTGGTGCATTTCACAGCCAGTTGCACGCAGACATCAGTCCACTTCACAGGAGCACGCATATATTGCTGCAGTGCTGGTAAACCCGTTCTTGTACTGAATTGATTCCTCTCCCTCTCTCTCTCTCACACACACACAATACACGCCCCACAGTAAAGAATATTTTCTGCCCCTCACTTTTTCTTTTGGTTCCCACCCACCTTTGTTCCCATTTGAGTAGCATCCCTGGGTACCACATAAATGCTTCAAAGAAATCAAATAAGCCAATTCCCAATGTTGCTCGATCCTCATTCTCGGAGGGGCCTTAGACCCTACATTTGGCTCTCACTCCTGTATTCAAGGCTCACGCTTGACGCCTCTGAGCTTACCTCTAGCGATGAGGATTTCTCTGGGTGTATGGTGTTGATGGAGCATAGACTCGGGCTCCAAGAAAGCCTCAGGAACTGCTTCCACTTGTCTTTGCTAGGATGGGGCAGGAGGAAGGAAAGACTCATATCAGCAAGGAAGGAACTTGCTTTGGGCAGTGAGCTGATACAGAGCCGTTGAAGGCTGCAAAGCATCATCCAGGAGCCATTATTGTGGTTTCCTCCTTATCTGCAGAACCTCAGAGGCCAGCAGCTCCCGGGAGGCTGTTGGAGGGCTCCTGGGTTGATTGCACAATGTGAAACCACCTGCAGGAGCTTCACGTGCAAAGGACCATGACTGCCTGCCGGTGGGAGGCCACAGAGAGGTGCTTCTTCTCGCTGAGCGCCCCACACTGGACCACTGCACCCATGAGTTTGTGGATTCAGCTGTGAATCTGGCAGGGCTCATTGACAAATGGACAAAATGATGCGTCCCGGAGCCCACAACATTACCACCTTGGGGTAATCCTTGCAGCAGCTCTAGGAAACTAATACAAGAGGACTGTCCTTGATTAGCCATGTGGGTCCAATGTAGTCACATGAACCTTAAAAACTGAGAAGTGAGGAAGAGGAGGAAGTGAGAGAGACTCGAAGCACCAGGACTTGACCCACCACTACGACCTAAAGACCGAGGGAGCAACATGGAAAGCATGAGAAAGTAATAAATTTGGTCAACATTCTAAATAAGCTTAGAAACAAATTCTTCCTCATAATCTCCAGGAAGGAATGCTGTCCTGCTGAACACTGACTGCTGCCTTGTGAGGTACTAAGCAGAGACCCAGCCGAGCTGGCCCAGGATGGGGACCCATAGACACGGTGAGATAGTGAGTCTCGTTTAAGCCACTCAGTTTGTGGGAATTTGCTATGTAACAACTGAAAACTGATACAAGCCACTTGATGGACGTCAGCTGCTGGAACTCCTTTAAAATTACGCGAGAAGTATCTTCACATGTGTGATCCTACCCCTATTCATGTTTTCATCTCATCTGGTCAATTTCTATACATCCGTTCCATTTAATGTTCCATAACAGATAAACGGTCCAGAAGAAATGCTCCCAATGAATTGGTCTGATAACCACTACTGGAGAGAGACACCCTGTAAAGTCCTACACAAAGATTTCCCTTAAAAGATGTCTGCGATTAACATCAGCTCACTCCACAAGCACTTACTGAGTGAATTTTTCTTCCTTGTATTGGCTTAGCGTCACGTGATTTAAACATATTCCCTGATCCCTAGGAACTGAGATTCTGAAGTGCTACAGCAAGCTTTGCCCAAAAAACAAGGCTGTGTGTCTATTTGGTCGACTATTAGGTTGACTACTAGGTTACCCAGGGAACATTTCTGCAACAAAAAAGGCCCCTGGTGTCCTACTGCCTGATGCATCGAGAGGGTTTGTAACTTTCATCATACCGTCTCGTGCTTCCCGCACAACTATGCCTTTCAATAAACAGGGTTAGCTCGTTTTCCTGTTGGAGAAGTAAAGACTAGATTGAAAACGGAAAATAATTTTCCAAAAATGATGAATACGGTACATCCCAAAGATGGAATCATTTATACTCATACTCTTAAAAGTCATGTTTTTTCTTTTAACAATGTTCACAATATGTTTTTTTTAAATTTTTATTTATTTTATTTTTTTTCCCCCAAAGCCCCAGTAGATAGTTGTATGTCATAGTTGCACAGCCTTCCAGTTGCTGTATGTGGGACGCGGCCTCATCGTGGCCGGAGAAGTGGTGCGTCGGTGCCCGCCCGGGATCCGAACCCGGGCCGCCAGCAGCGGAGCGCACGCACTTAACCGCTAAGCCATGGGGCCGGCCCCACAATATATGTTTTTTAAAAAGGAGTTTTATAAAAAGGCTTCCAGGGCCGGCCCTGTGGCTTGGTGGTTAAGTGCGCGCGCTGCGATGCTGG